GTCCATATGTTAACCCTTTTAAATTTAACATAACAGTTAGTACTACTGATATAAAACAATATATGAAAGTGTCATGAGTATCTAGTACATTTGATTCCTATTTACAGAGATTATAAAAACTGTGTAATCATAAATTCTCTTGGAAGGCGTAACATTGCAAGAAGCAATTAAAGGATAATATAAGCAAGGAAACAATTGAGTGCAGTGGGCTTCAAGGGGGTAGTATGGCTTCCGTCTTGCCTCAATTATTCATTACTCTTCAGCACATAGGCAATATTTGTCAGAAATCATTGCAACATGCTTGAAAGTTGAAGGCTACCATGTTCCCCACAGATACTTGGATTTCAAACATAATTTTTAAAAGACAGATTTCCCCCAAGTTGGTCAGGAATTTATCAAGATAGCTGAAGACAAATTATTATTTTTGACAGTGGAGGAATTTCTTGTTTCTTTTTTACTCCTCATAATGGAGAAGAGAAAAAGTTTCTTAGACTCTGTACTCTGTTCACTACCCCTCCCAAAAAAGCTCTACTGACGTCAACAAATGAAAAATGATTTAATATCTCCATATGTACTAAGTGTCAAGCAATATCTCACAGTAATATTGTGGGACAATATATTTGGATAGCTATTTCCCAAATTAAATAAAACAGGCCTATGCCAATCATATAAAAAAATCATTGTTCCTATTGGAAAATCATTTACACTAACTAACATACTTGGAAACTTGCATTACTCTCTGTACTCAAACTTATGTGTACAAAAGTGTTTTCATGTATGCAAAATAAACTAGCTATTTGTTCTAGAAACAGTAAAAACAGGCAAAAATAAAACAGATGAGAAAGAACAGTAGTGACTTTAAGCTACATTTTTAAAAGTTATGTTGAATGATTAGTGATAAAATTTCAATAACCATTTGCATTAGTCACTACAGGAAATGGTATAACATGCTCCAAAATTTTGTGATATAAAATATTTAGATAGCAAGGGAAAGGAAGGTGATATATTTTTCTTTCTTTTTTCATTTATTTTACACAAATAATTTTCTTAGTATTATCTAAATGATGTTCTTACTTTTGGCTTTGACATTCATGTAGTTTCAAATAGAAAGCTTATTAAGATACCAAATAAGAAGGATTCACAAATCCATTGTAACAGAGACCACAGTGATCAAGTGAAAGCGTCTAGTAATGATTAGGTTTGAAAAATTAAGATCACGTCCCTCGTTCAACTCAATGAAAATGCAGGTTTGACTTCTTTGAATTTAATAAGATATAATATGATAATTACATAAAGTCCCATGTGCTGTGTAAGGCTAGACTCAGATAATGGAAAAACAGCATAAAAGAAATAACGATAGTTGTTTGTCTCTATGAAACTATAACATTGGTTTATGCAGTTAAATTTTGTAGGTAGAAAATACTTCTCAAAGTGTGGAGTCTATCAAGATCATCTGTTTTCCTTGTTAAAACACAAATTCAGGGCCGGAAGCCCAGAAATTCTAATTCTAGGTGTGTTTCTGCTGGTGACTCATGCATTGTAGTTGGAGCGGCACTGGCCTAGAATACTGACTATGTTGAGAATATTAATACTGATAGTACTTACTGTACTGAATGTTCTGGCATTGAAATGATGTTAAACCAGCTATGGGAGAGAGGCTGCCATTGTTTTCCTTGCTTTGCTTGGTCATATATTTCAGTTAGGAAACTGATGAAAATTCAAAGACTGCAAATTTCTTTCAAATATGGGCAGAAGGTTAATACCACAGATGCTTTACAGACTTAGGTCAATTATATTAATCCACACATGCTGATCTTTGGAAACTGTACCTAAATTACTATTGAGATTGTTTATTTCCGAACTTGGATGACCAGATCCACACTTTTTCTATTGAGTGGGAGCAACTTTGTTTTGCAGATGCAATGGGTAAAATGGACGAGACACTCCATCAGCTGTTTGGTCATAGTAATTTTTAGTGGAATTACAGCATACTGCAATATTTTTCTTTGCAACTTAAACTTTGAGCAAATCCAGACATCTAGAGAGGCTAAAAGGAAAAATCTGTTTTCTTTTGCTTTACCATTTGCCAAATGAACTCTGTCAGACTGCACATTCTATACATTTTAAGTAAACAAAATTACCCTTAATGTGTTGGCAACATCTGTCAAAACACTCTTCAGTCTATGGCTTAAATACACTGAATAGGAATGGATTTGACAGTGCATTTCATGAGGCACAATTATAGTTGAAGATGTTGGTTTTATCTTAATAACCATAGGATGTTTTCCTTTTCTTGTCTTTTTTTTTCTTCTCTACAGTAAAATACAAGAGATTCTATTATCTTTGAAAAGGAAAGAGACTCACAAACATCAGCCAACCCTAAAGCTCCCTAAATTGCCTGTCCCTGAATGATAAGATCTAGAAAATTCTTTAAGAAGATTCTGTCACTTCTTTCTAGCTCACCCAATAATTGTAAATTTCTTCCATTCCCATAAGATTAAAGAATCTGTGCTCTTCATAATTTGTGCAAAGTCATTATTCATTGAATATTTTTACTGAATATGAGCAATACATATTCTTATATATCCTCCCCCTCAGAACCTGTATATTGTTGTTCACTTATTTGCAATAACTGCTCCATTTAGGGAAAGAATGTTTCCCTGACAGTATTTTCCTTTCTGTGCTTTGTGCTGCTATTTAGGATTCCCAATTATGACAAATCCTTTCCTACTTTTCCTTTTCAGTCAGGCTTCTAGCTTCTACATGGAAGCAGCACACTGGTATCTGTCATCAAATGAGTCCCCACACACAGATTTCCATGAAAAGACCCTCTAAGAGAGAATACAGGCTCTCCTAAGTTAATTCTGAGTGCAGTCCCTCCACTCTTATCACATATGGATTTTGAATAATCTGTCACATGCTCAGATACCTCACTTACATCTTCTCCCAAAGACTACAGTCTATCTCATATACCCTTGGGGAATGTGCATCGTCCAGGGTATTGAGTAGAAAATAATGTCGCAGACATAATTTTGCCTTTATCAAGGATTTGCATAAATTATTTTCTGTGTGTTTAGGATCAGCAGGCTGTTTAGGATTGAGGGATTTCTGGAATTGTGACAATTTTAACTAAGTGTTGGAATGTCTCGGGGTAGACAGTTCAAGATGGTCTAAATCTCAAAGATGAGAGTAGAATTGAAGTTTTATTCCTGTTAAGGGTAAGAATATTGGGAAAGTGCCACTATTTAGGTTAAAAAATGCTTCAGGACGTCCATCTTAACTCTGAGGTTATTTTATAATTTATCCCTAGGTGATTTAAGAAGAACCGTAGTTCTTCTTAAAGTGTTTACTTCTGGTCTGGCACAACAAATACCTGAAATGAAGGCCAGTAAGTATTTTTTTAAAAAGGGAAAATTAAAATTTCTCTTGATAATAAAATTCAAGCAGCAGGAAGAAAAGATAGTCTGTCTGAATTACACTTAAGCAAAACGTTGCTTTATTTATATTTTTATTTATATGTCTCTCACCTAAGAAGTAATCTGTTATACAATTCATAAATTCATCAAGAAATTGAAATGCAAATGCACAAATATATATATTTATAAACTACAGATCTATAAAATAATATGCATATTTTCTGGTTGATCTCAGAGCAAAAGTCCAAATGTCACAGCTAAGTCAAGTATTTCCAAATAATTGGTGCAATTTCCATTCTCCCTCCAAGTTAATCAGGAGGAGCCCATAGGGAAGGCTGAGTGAGACGCTGTTCTTTTAACAGATGTCAGGAAACTGGATTTGGATAATACCATAAGGAACTGATCATCCTGAGCAAAAACTATTTTAGGAAACATTTACTTGTGAGTAATTAGTTTTGGTGACAAGATCCTGACAGTTATGTGCTTCTGTCCTTGCTTTATTTCTTTGAAATATTTATATGGCAGAAAAAATAACTAAAAAGTATTGATTAAGAAAAATAATTTATTCAGATACATGATCACTTTATTACAACTGAGTACTTTAGTGGGTTGTTATATCATGAATGTCTGTCTTTTTATTGTAATATCAAATGTAAAGCATTTGAATTATATAATCCCCCAAAGGCCCATCCAGTCCTAGCTTTTCTTAATTTTGTTTTTTAATAACATTTTTCCATTCTCTAATTTAGCTGGTTAAATGGGAATAGTAAGGCAGAAAAAGTAGTGTGCTAAGGTAACACAGTCACCTGTCATATAATGTGTATATGGAAAAATTTTTAAATGTCCACGCCTTGGTATATTTCCAACAGTTACAATAAAGCAGAGCATCCATTCTAATGGTACACCTTTCCTAACATCTGATTACACATTCGAGGTTTTCTTTTTCATAAATTCTAATTTTTGTATGAACACAAAAATTTGACCAGTATTAACAGAGTTCAGCATTCCTCTGCATTGTGGCAAAAGTCTAGATAGCAAATAGTTCAAATGATTCAGAGAAAAAGGCATAAAACACAATAACTTTTATTTTTAGATAATTAATGTTAGATTTCAGTATGCCCTTCAAAGAGAGCAGGTCAAAAAGGCCATTTACATGTGCAATATCTCCCCAGTGGAAAGCTGTATTGGGATCAACAATTACCTGTGTAGATCATGTGCAAGTAGAATAAAGTAAAAGTTTGACTCAATTTAAGAACATGTAAATAATTTCCACTAATGTTCATCTTCTGTCAGTCAGAGAAGCTTGTATTTAGGTCAGTGGGATAGAGGAAACGTATGATTTCTTTGAATATATTCTACGTCAACTTTCAGAAATGTAAGTGATTGCTAAGTTGCTAAGGCTGTATATTTTGACAAAGACAAAATGACATGGATGAGTTAAAACATCATGTAACCCTGAATTTAGCTTTTTCCGGAAAATGTAAACATATCTGATGTTAATGTAAAAACATAGTATATTGCATTCGTTTTTGAAAGGTGTCTTCCTGTAGAATGTTTTCAGATGGACTTTGTATGTGTTTGTAGGGTGCTGTGATTACACCAACAATAGACCATCCTATGTCAATGCAGCCAACGAACATGATGGGTCCCCTGACACAGCAGATGAATCACCTTTCATTGGGCACAACGGGGACGGTGAGTTAAAAAGTTTGTTTTGTTTTCTCTTGGTGGGTTTTAATAATGTACAACCTGCTCTTCTAGCTGGCATCATCAGCGAAACCCGTTCTGTAACCCTGCCTAGCACACCCCCCAGGTTCCAGTATGAATGAGCTGTGTTGGACACGAATGTCAGATTCCAGGACACATTTGCTCACACTGACGAGGCTGAGGGTTGTACTGTGCTGCGTTTAAATCTCAGTCACTTTTCGGTGTTATGACATGAGGTAATGTGTCAGAGATGTGTCCTTTTGCATGCACCTGCAAGTCTAGACCAAGCAGTGATATTCTGTAGATTAGTTTCTTTTCCCAGTTGCTTACCAAGGCAGCCAGTATATCATCCCCATCCTCCACACAGGGCCAGCTTTGACTGTAACAGGTAGAAGGGCTTTTTATTTACTTTCAATATTTAAAATTGTAAAAGGTAATTGATAACATGGCATAGTGAGTTCTTTTGATGTTTTTCTTTGATATATTGACATAGATGGCACTGAAAAGAAGAAAGGGACTCTAACAAGCTTAATCTCTTTTATTAGGGTGGAGAATTTTTGAATAGTCTTATTTCTCCTTAGAAACAAAAGTGCACTGAAAAAAACCTATTGTCATCTTGATTTTATATCAATGAGATACATGAAATCATGGAAAAATGTTACTTTTCTTTAAAAAAAGATGCTTTCAAAAATAATTTTAAAATTATTCAAGAAGATAGATGTCTAATACAATTTTGCTAAAACATTATTACTGAGAATGATGAAAATATTATGTGACACCATCAATAGCAGTTTTATTTGACCTAAACTTTAATGCAGATAGTCTTGTCATTTTTAAGATGTAGAAAAATGTATACTTTTTCTTCTAAATGATGAAGCTTAGCTAATGTAGAAAAAGCACTGGGTTAAGAATCAAGAATTATAATTTTAAATCTTGAGGGAACACTATGGTTTATATCTGTCCTTGGAAGTATAGTATCTTCTGGTCTCAATAAAGCTCAAATATTGAACTTGATATGCCCCCCCCCAACTATATGATGTTGTATATTTAGTTCCATATGTTTCTTTACATGTTCTACAAATACCTGTGTACACTAAGCACACTACCTATGAATAGGAGATTTTACCTTTTATCAGTGGCAAGCTTGCTGAGTAGAGGATATTGATGTGTAGACTTTATATGAAGTTTGTGACATGTCCCCTGAGGCCTCACTAATTCACCATACATGGGAAGAAATTTATACTATTAATGGAAAGAGTCACAGAATTTCAGTAAACAAACTAAGTTTGATTAATAAAACAAAGCACTTCAGTCTAGGGCCTCAGCTGCTCAACCCATAAGAAACAAGTAATGATAACCCACATGTCTCAATGCTTGGGCTAAATCAAATGGTTTCTTAGGATTTTGATCTTGAGCTTTGGAAGTCATGTTTAAGATTATATTTATTTATAACTGTGGGATAGATAACTTTCATCAGGGAGAGGGTTTGAAGGGAATAGTTTTGTTCTTAGTGTACAAGGATTATTTGTAGTCACCATATGTTAGGAAAAGAGCAATTAATAGTAAGTAGGTCTGAGATTGATCATGTTCCAAATGGACATTGCCCTTTATAATATCAGCCTCTTGTGCTTCAAAAATTGTAAATTTTAAATGAGTGAAGTAGGAAATTCTCTTGACAAACTGGAATATGATAGTAGAGAAAATCAAAATGCAAAGCAGAGAAAGAAAATTTTAATAAATTTTACCTTTTGAGTAAAGAAGCAAAGCCAGAACTAGCTAATGTTTAAGTGTGTGAACAAGGAAAAATATGAGAGTTAGGGTAAGGACATGACTGAACCCTTTAGGAAATTGAAGAATAAGCTAAATGATACTGAACAGGCTCAGAACTGTACTAGTTATTTATTCAGTTATATATACATTTGTGTATTTGAGCATTTTCATTAAGAGCAAATTTATGTGGCACTATAACTTTTATTCACCTGGTAATGACCAATAATAATAATAATTCTGTAATGGTACATACCACTCCCTTTCTTAGAGAATATTTAGCACATGGCTTATTTTTAATACTTCCTCTACATTTTTGCTCTTTTTCACTCTTTTCTTCCTTTAAATTTGCAAATAAATAATGTTTTGGTACATTATAAGTCTCATAATTTTCTGGAAAACTTTAAAATTTAATGAGGTTTGGACAGGCAGAGAGGAAACTTATTAGTCTTCTTATTTATTAAACAAAATATGATTGAGTGTATTTAGTGGCCTGAATGCTGGATTTTTATTCCCTTAAACTGTCACTCTAATACTTGGACATACCATGATAGATTCATGTTATCTGAATTTTTGATTGCATTTGGAGTGACTACTATGTAGTTGAGGCTGATATTTAAAATTGAGTTTTCCCACCTACTGCTGCCTTTCTAATATTTCCATTGATCGAGAAAGCAACCCGGCATTATGGAAAGTCCAAGGACTCTGAACTCAATCTGGAGTTAAAAGCCTGACTCTATGCCTTTATTGTCATACATGTTTCAGCAAGTTATTTAACTTCTTTGAACTTTCACTTCTTCTTTCACAAAAGGAGAATGATATTATATAAACTCCAGGGTGAGTGTTAAATGGAATGATATACATAGCGTACATCATGCAGTGCATAATGCCGTACAGGTGCTTATCAAATGAACTTCCCTGACCCCTCTAGCTCCAACGGCTTCTAACTAGTGGGAGTCAAGTCGAGGTAGCACCCTTTTAAAACCACAGAACAACTCTTACTTACTCTACATCAGATGATGTACTTAATTTCTTTAAATGTTTCCACTTTGCTTGCTGCTATAAAACTCAACCAGGATTGAAAAGTCCAAACTCTACAGTCTACCTAAGTCACATTAATGAATGAAGTTGACTGAATTCAAATACCTTTGAAATATGTAATCAAACTTGCTCTGTGTTTTCCTATATGATAAATGTGAACATGTCATACAAATGCACATGATATTAAAGTTATATTTTGGAGGTATTTGCAACGCACTTAAAAATAAAATCTCTGCCTGAGTTTGGACAAACAGAAACAGTAGGGACAAGTGGTGATTTTAGTAGCCTGGAATACGATGCCTTGTCTAGAGCGGGCAGCACCACTGAAATCCAAGCAGCTAGTACCACAGGGGTGTACAGACCCAGGGTGATCACACCTTCCAGTTTTTCAAGATAATCTGAATACTTGGATGTTGATGTGACATTTTCCTACAATTGAATATTGGGGCCCAGTTTATCCCCCAAATCTCCATGCGTGTGACTGTGGCACAGGGTTTTCCTAATTTTCCTCCAAATCCTCTGGCCATTCCTTCTTCTTTTGGTTACTAAACCATGGTCACTAAACCATGGTTTCATTTTTAACTGGTCTACATGGTTTCCCTAAGCAATCTAATCCACTTTCATGGTTTTAAACCCTGCCTTTCACACTGAAGATTCCTATATCTGAGTTCTCCATGCTAACCTCATCTTCGAGTGACTCATTTTCCAACTATTTGCTAACTCTCTCCACTAAAATTCCCTCCAGTTTCTCAAAGTCAGCATGACCAGAACTAACCTCATGAGCTTCCCTGAGCTCCCTTCTAACTTAATTTGTTTCCTCTTGTGTGTTCCTACACCTGGTTTTCTTTCAAGCTAATGCCATAATCATTTGATAGTAGCCAAACCACACACCACGCACCAGCTCAATCTAGACTCCCTTCTCCCTCACCATCATATAGAACACTTCAGTCTAATTGTGTCTTACAGACACTGTTTTTGCCAGGTACATTCTCTCTTCCACAGTTTCAGGACTCTGCCCTGGGCCTCACTGGATTCACTTCAATAGTCTCCTAACTGTGCTCTCTTGCTTCCCATCTCCCAGTTTTCTCCAATCTATTCTGTACCACGTTACCACTGCCAGGTAGTCTAAAGTGACATAACAATGTTGAGAAGTCTTTGGGGACTTTCAGACAACTAAGTTTACTGAAATTCTACAAAACAAAGTTTGATCCAGTGATGACTAAAATGAAAATAGGAAATTCAACTCCAGGAAGCGATGGGTTGCTAGGTCAGAACACCGTGAGATCCAGTGAATAATTTTATAGGCTAGTTAATGATCAGGGCTAATGGGAGGTGAAGCTAGATCCAAATATTTTTCTTTTTTAAAAGGTGGGCTAAGTCACAGCATATATCCTGCTCTCCTTATTAAGATCCCTGGTTAAAGGAATTACATGGAGCCTAAAACTCTTTTTCATCTTCCTAAAAGCAGATGTACTTCATATCATATAACCCCACGGTTTGAAATGGGTGCCAGAGAGTTTCACTAAACTCTCTGTATAATTTTTCACTTCAAATGTTTATTGTTCAATTTTCTACCTGTTTTTAAGCTAGACAAACCTGCCAGCCTTAAAATAAATGAGTTTTATGCAAGCAGTATAACTGTTGTATTTCAAGGCTCTACCGACCTTGATGAATTTTTCTAGCTTTGTCTGCTTTGGTTTATTTTTGCCGCAGGATTCCTTTGATCGAAGCAACCCCAGTATCCATAATTTCTTATCAACTTAGTGTAAGCTTTAGCAGAAAGCTCTAGGGACTTTACTGTGTTGTGAAAACCCTCCGAATTGCATGACAATCTTGTTTTACAAGTTTCTTATCTCCCTTTCATTTGTTCAGTGGGGTTGCTCCTCACCAGTGGCTTACAATGTCACCCACATCTTTTGAAAGAAATACAAAGATTTTGTTCTAAGCCTCCTTATCTGCTCTTAGTGTCCTGTTCCCCAAGCTACTGGTGATTTGTGACATCACTGGATTCCCATAATGCAGTGAAACTGACTCACAAGAGTAACCCTGTAATTGCACCCCATTTTGCTCCACAGTTCTCTAGCGCTTTCCAGTCACAACAAACCTTTACTGTTCTAAAATTCTGATGGTACCAGGTGAAAATCTGACTTACTCACTTTACTTAGATATTGTCTTTTTACAATTATTAGGTATTGATTTTTAAAATTTTTCAAATTAATTGCTTATTGGTCCATTTTAGATATACATAATGACCATGTTTATCATAGGGAATTTGACCTGTACATGATATATTTTAATTCTTTTTTTCCCCATTCCCCTCCTGTCCTTTCAACAAGTCTTCCCTTTCTTATTTCAAAAGCTTTTTTCTATTTTATCTTTCTCTTATTTTTTTTTCTTTTGTCTTCCTTCCTTTCCCATGCAGGCACTAAGGTGGAGAATTATAAAAGCAACAAAACATTAAACTCATAGTTCAATACCTAGCATCATAAATGATAAGTTACTCTTCCTTATATTTTTTTTCAGGGAAAATAACAACTAGTTACAAAGGGCAAAATAGAAGAGGAAAATCTATGTAAAAAGTGATAGGTTTTTAAAATTTTTAAATTTTATCTTAACATAAAAGGCTTTCAAAGAGTAATCTTACCATATAAAAATTGAAGAGGGTTTATGTAAATGTCCATTAAGTAAATTTTAAAGTTTTGCTGTTTAAAAACTAGACTGTATAATCAAATAAATTAGCAACTGAATGAAGATCTCTAACACATAAAATGCCAAAAATATGAACAGGTAGTTGATAAAAAGGGGATCGGAAATTTGCAGAATATATGAAAAGTTACCATAAAAGATAGAAACTACAGTGTAATCCAGTGTGTTTCATTAACACAAACACATATCCCATAAAATAAAGTCATCAAAATAATGCAAACTGCTGAGGATGGTGTTGAAAGATAAGCATTTTCCAACAGTCATTGTGTGATGGAAGTAACCTAAGTCTCTGCCCAGCACGGGTATTAGGACAGCAAAGTAGGCAGTCAAAGCACTTCAGAACATTTATCCTGGCAGAGAAAACAGCTACAGATTTTAATAGGTAGTTGATTGAAGTATTCAAAATTAACAAGGCCTGTATGCTTCAAAAATATTTATAGTGTTCTTCATAACATGTAATGAGAAGAAAAATTGAACAGTAATAAACTATCCATAAATTGAAAGGTAAAACAGCATATAATTACGAGTTTAAATCAATTAGGGAGCGAGTAAATTAAAATGCTTTTATAAAAAAAGAAAGAAAATTTGTGTATGTGAATATAATGCCCACTGTGAAAAATAAAATGTATAAAATAATGGTGTAAAGAAATGCAAAATAATTGCAATTACTTTAAAGGAAGTGATTAGAGGTAATTCCTATTTTGAAGCATTATACTTCTATATTCTCCAAGTAGTCAACAATCAACATTATTTTCTTATGTTTTTTTACTTTTAAATTTTATAAGTATATTTTTGGGAAATTGTCAATGGCATGGTCCAAACATTAATGTTTTTCTTTTTGTTTTTCCTGGGGTTTGCTTGTTTTATACTGGTAATGTGTGACTACATTTTCACAAAACGTAGGACTTCATACAATTATTAACAAAACATTACATACCTTATAAATGACTCTCTTTCTTCTAAATTTGGGAATTAAAATTAAGCCATGAGTCCAGTGAACTAGTATGAGAAATGTAAGAACTCATAGCTATGGTTTGTTGCATTTGACTTTTCTGGTCAGTATTTCCTGTTGTCAAAGTGCTTTGCAATGATTAAATTCTTATTTACCTTCTCATATGTCATTTACTCTGGAGAGCGAATAATGTTATCCTTTTGTGGCAAGGAGATGAAAGTGAGAAATTTGTGGTAGTCCCTAAAGTTTTTAAATGGGTGGAAAAATAAATTTAGGGCTTTGGCTTTTAAAATGGAATTCAGCTTATATAGTTAAAATAAGGGTTCACACAAGAATATCTATTGAACCATGTTTAGGGAAGTTCATTTGAATGTGAAACAAGATTAGAATTTTCCTCCTTTAGAAGCCGGGGGCTAAGATCACAAGCTATGTCCTACTTTCCTTTTTTAAAGATCCCTGGCTAAAGAAATTGTATTGAACCAAATCTTTTGTCATCTTCAAAACCATGGATATATTTGGTCCCCCATCAACCAAACTTTTGCACTGATTGCCAGATAATTCAATGATGTTTTCCTAAAGTAAGTCCCCTCTGGTGTTTGGACGCTTTGGAAACGACAGCCACAATCTGCTGAGTAAGTTGCAGTCTATGAATTTCTGCTCTGCAATGTCAGCACAGAAAGCTTCTCCGTACAGAGCAGAAAGCACCCTCTGCTCTGCCTCCTATTACACTTGAAACTCTGTGACTAATGACTCAGCTAGGGCTTTAAATTGCACTTCCCTCCACGCAATATGAAAATGTGCATATTTTTTATTTGTCTCCTTTAAATTATCATTCTTCCTTTCATTCCCCAGAACTTCCGTTTATGTTGTGCTTTGAGCCTCCTCCAAATAGGTTGCCTGTAAAACTTTTGTGTCCTCCAGGGAGGGTAAACATTTCTCACTGATTCACTGAGAAAGAAAACAAACAAGAAAACGATCATGTTCCAAGACAAATTCTAGCATCCCAGCAGATTATGCTGGTGCTGACCTCAGGTACAACGTGGCGGTAGTGGAAGCACGGTATCTCCCAAACTGGAGTATCAACTGTAAACTGAAGTCATAATGCCTTGACTGCTTGAAGGCAGGGGTTTAGGTGCCCATAAGACATGCAATGGGCCTTTCCCAATTTTAAAGCTAAGATTCTGTTTTATTTTCTTTTGTACTTCATTGCATTCTTTCTCATGCTCTTTTCATTCAAAGATTCAATCCCAAGACAGGATTATGATACTCCACCAGCTGTTGTGTCAGGTAGGAAAATTCTCATTCCTTTAAGACTTGATTGGAGGGGAGAGATGGAGGTTGCCTGGTTTTTGTCAAAGCTCTTTAAAGCAGTGATTCTCAATAGCAGTGGGTATGGGACATCTGAATTTTATTTTGGCGTGGGGTGTGTATGTTGCTTTTAAAATAAAGAAGAAGAGCTCCAAGGCACTTTGTCTATCAAGGATACACAAAAGATAGAGTCTGTATTCTGTGTATCAGTGATTCTCAATGTCAGACAACGTCACCACCATTTCTGAAAAGTGGGATTAAGGACATTATATTTAGCAAAAGACTCATGGATTAATAAAAATAGATTGAGAAGCACTGCTTTATAGACCGGAATTATTCTAAAGTTAAACAATCATCCCATTTTGCTTACTTGGCATTAAATATAGGGTCTGACATATAGTAGGTACTCAGATTATTTGTTGAATGAATTAAAAATTTAAATTTGTTCTAAAAATGACAATTAATATATGAAAGTGAATCTACCAATATGATATTTGTACAACAAAGTGACAGAAGTTGCTTTGAGAATACATTAGAGTCTTCAGAATTTTAATTAGCAATGTTAGAATTGTTTCCTAGAGTGGTATAGTTTGTAGCTGGTATATGTGTCTGAAGAGGTTTGCTTTTGTTTTAAACTGCAGAGAGCTTGTGCATTCATCATAATTTGGAATTTTGATTTCTTGCAAAGGGTAAAATGGGCACAATTGTTCATTTATGTTGATTTTTTTAACTAAAGGAAATACTGGCATTCTGAAGTACTTTGAAATCGTAGATCCTTTGACATGTTAGATGGCAAGAACATAAAATTCAAACTCAGAAGAGCATTACAGAGACAGAGCATGAAAAAGTAAAGTCCAGAAATAGAGTAAAAGAGCTCACAACAGTCAGGCCTGGCAGTCAGACAGGGTTTCCAAGTAGAAACACCATGCTCTTGGCCGCTCTGCTTGCTCAACCCCGCATCCAAAGGGTGATCTTTGTTGTGTGTCCTGTGAACTTGTTTATTTATGTTCAGGGCTGAATTCTTGGAATGTCCCCATTGAAAAATAATGACTTAGTTTTCAACTATGAAGTCACTTTGGTCCCCAGAAGATGTCTATAAATTTTCATTACTTAAAATATCACAATCTTTCTCCAAAGTATCTGACCTACCATATCTAGATTGCCATTTTCATTTAAGATATAGAATACAAGGGAAGAGATTTTGTTTGGCTTGTCTGGCTTCTATTTTGCTTGACATGTAGCATTTTTATTTAACTAATAGCATCTATTCTTGATAATTTACCAGTGTTAATAATAAATGACATAATCTGAAACTCTCTTCCAAAGAGGTGTCCTGATTTTACTCTTTCAAGAATATGATGCAAAAAGCAAAGCTTATCACATACATCTTGGGTCAAGCGCTACCAAATCAACTGAGGCAGAAACTCTGGTTAAAAATCCTGGCTCTGGAGTTGCCATCTGATTCAATACACCTTAGTCACTGAAAATTTTTGAGCAAATAAGTGATTTGATAAAAATAATAGTTTAAGAACTTTAATCTAACAGTTTAAGAACTTTAATCTAACAGTTTTGTGTGTGCTTGATGAAAAAAATTTTTAAATCACATAGAAAAGTTAGAAGCCCAGATATGACATATTTACATTAAAAATTTTCTGTCATCCCACAAGTGGAGTACAAAGAAAGGAACCAATATACTGTTCATATGAAAAAATAATGTTTTGTGTTGTTTTATAGTTATTTTCTCCTCATAAGAGAAATTTCTCTTCATATTACCTCTAAATAGAAACAAGCTTGCTTTTCTAAAATATCTTTTAACTCACTGGTGCAATAACTTCAGAGACTTTTGAAAAATTGCATGGCTTTTGCCCTACCATATCAGAAAAATAAACTGGCTATTACAATATCTTCTTCCAAGCTATCCCAAAACACCAATACTGAAAAACTCAATCCATTATTTTCCAGTGTAGGAGCCAACCAGATTTACTCCAGTTTATTAGTGTTCAAGGTATCTGTTTCATAATTTATAAGATATAACCAAAATTAATTCAGTCGGTCAATATTTCACACATTTATTGAGCAATTTCTCAATAGTAGGTACTACATTCTAATGATGGACCTACAAGTTTGGGTTGAAAATAGATCCTTGGCAAACATATTGTGATCTAATTTAATGTTATTTGTGATGTTCAAAGTATAAGATATAAAGTTGAAATCCTCAGAAGTAAAGTGAATTCTGAGGTGGGTTAGGAAGAATCTGAGTTTACCAATTAGATGAGAATGGGAAAGGTACACTAGGGAAATAATACAAGTTGTGTAAACTCTTAGAAACAGGAAAGAGTATATAAGGGTGTCTTGGTTACTTTTCTCACGTTGCTGAGACGAAATACCTGATGCCCAAAATTAAGGAAGGAAAAGTTTATTTCGCTTCCAGTTTGTGGAGGTTTTAGTCCATATTTGGCAGGTTACAAGGCAGAGTGGCACATGGCAGAGGGCTACAGCTCATGGCGGCAGAACACAGCAAAAGCAACAAGCCCAAACAACAGAGAAATGGTGGCAAGCAGCCTCTTCCCCTCCATTACATATGCAAACTGTCTACCCCAAGGCGGGTGTAGCTCTCACACCCATAATCAATCAAACTCTAATAGCCTGCCCCATGACCGCATGAGGCTTTGGGGGGACACCCAGGCACAAACCATAACAAAGGGATTGAATTTCAGCAAGGCATTGATATTATGGAGGTAAAGTCAGGTCAGTACAAACTCTTTCTGGAGGAGAACACTTTGTTCTTTGCATCATGTTTCATCTTGCTATTTTACTTGCTTAAATAATATATACTGGAAGCATTATATGTAGTTTATTGTGCAAAGTGCTAAGGATGAAATTTTTGTAATGATTTAGGAAGTTAAGTATAAGCAGGTTACTACAACACTGTGGCATAAGTTTTTCAATTATCATAATGATTAAGTTTGTCCAATAATAAATCAGATGCCTAACTACAGAAGCTACTTATGCCATTTACTAATTGCAGAAACATGGGAACATCATTTAACTTATCTGTAGTTTAGATTACTTATCTGATGAAAACCCCTCATTAGTTTTTCCTAAGCATTGGGTAAGTTAAGGTGGGATGAATTAAATACTTAAGGTACTTCAAACACATCCTGGCATAAAATTAGAGTTCAAACATTATTAGCTGCAACTGTATTAATCTTTATTGGTATAAGCATTGTGACAGCACAAAGAAAGAACAACTAACTCTACTATGAGAGGTCAAAGAAAGAGTCCTAGTAGAAGAATTTTCTAAACATAGGCACAAAGATACATGGGTATAAGCCAAGTTGAAAATACTTCAGAGGGATGAATTTATGATCAAGGAGGCAGCATGTCCAAAGGGTTATTTGACCAAGATATGTCAAATTGAGGAGCTGCAGCTGGTTAAATAGGGCAGGAATATGCACACAGAAAAAAAAGATTACAGAAAATGAACCTAAAAATGAGATGAGATGGAACAACACCACCAAATATAGTCGCTTAAACTCTGTCATTATGACAATAGAAAAACATTAAAAAGTTTGATGTTGGAGAATGACACAGTAACTCTGGGTATCAGATCTAGAATAGACTGGAGTGAGACAAAACTAGACAAAGGAAAAACTGAACACAGCAATCCAAAGGAGAAGTCACGGTGGCTTGTACCCAAGTCATGGAAATGACAAAGGAAAGTTGGTAAATTTGTGACATATTAGTGAGGTATAGCACATAAGGCTGGTAAACGATTGAATATCAAGGTAAAGAGACAAGGAATTAAACCTAGTTCATAAATTCCTAACAACTGAAAGGTCTCAGGTATCGTTTGTTAGGGTCTGAACCATGGAAAGAAAGGTCAGATTTCTCAAAAAAGAAGGCTGAATTCAGTGTCAAACATGTTGAGTTTCAGACAGTGATCCATGTGAATGGAAAAGTTTGGATATGTGTGCCTGTACACAGATGACATCTCTTACCTACAGGGGGCTTTGCAGATTCCATGATGGAATTAAGCTGTGTCACCCAGAGCCAAGGAAAGTACACATGATCCTAAAAATAAGTGTCAGAAAATCGAGTTTAAAATAAAGATTGTAAAAGACACCTAAGGTATGTAAGAAAAAAAAAAAAAAGAAGATGAGGTTTCAAAAGAGAATACTGTCTTGTGACAGGAGTCCTGAAAATGAGCCATTGGATTTTTGCTTATGCAAATTGTCTCATTGTTGAGACAAAATACCTGACACTCAAATTTAAAGGAGGAAAGGTTCATTGTAGCTTAGAGTTTGTAGAGGTTTCAATTCATAGTTGGCTGGCTCCAAGGCAGGGTGGCATGGCAGAGGGGCCTTGCAAAGCAGGCACCAAGCAGCAACAGCAAGCAACAAACAAGGTCCCTCTTTCCGTACCTTATAGTTTATCCAGCACACCTATCCTTAGGTCAGGTAGCACCCACACTCCTAATGCTATCCAGAACTAGGCCAAACCAATCAGTGAACTAATTTAGTAATCACACGTCCTTGATTGCAGCATCAGATATTCCAGATGCAGCCACCTTTGAAAAGCCCCACCTATAACCACATGAGGCTTTGGGGGACATAGAAACACAAGCCATAATTAGCTATTCTCAGCCTTTTCTGTTTTTACATGAATTTTAGGCTTGTTTTCTCTAGTTTTGTGAGGAATGCTGTTAGTAGTTTGATAGTTTAAATCTGTGTATCAGTTTTGAAAGTGTCGCCTTTGTGACCATATTCTTTTTTCGTATCCAGGAATAGGGGGCATCTTTCCATTTTCTGATATCTTCTTCAGTCTCTTTTTTCAGAGTACTGTGTTTTAATTGCAGAACTTTCACTTGCTTGGTTAGGTTAAATCTTTAAGTACTTAATTTTTCTTGATGTTATTGTAGATAATATTTTTCCTAATATCTTTCTCAGTGAGTTCATTATTGGTGTGCATATATGCTG